GAGAGAGAGAGAGAGAGAGAGAGAGAGAGAGAGAGAGAGAGAGAGAGAGAGAGATGACGGGGAGAGGATATGGAGAGAAAACCGAAACCGCACGAAACGCTGACATCGCATTAATCACAGGTTACGGCGGCGCACGCGCGCACGTACGTACGCACGCACACACACACAGTCACACACACACACACACGCACACACGCACACACCCACACACGCACACACACGCAAGCACGCACGTATGTACGCACGCACACACACACATACACATGCGCACACGCACACACACACACACACACACACACACACACACACACACACACACACACACACACACACACACACGAACGCAACAGCAGTCCCTGGGGTTTTACAAATGCCATATTGCAGTCAGTCTGACATTAAAAGAAGATCTTTGGCGGCCCATCGCTAAAGCAGTTAACCGAGCCAGATACAACAACCAGTAGTAAGTACTATAAGTAGTAATCCAGGCGGGCGATGGAAGCAGCTTCAGACTGAAAGGCAGATAAACTAGCGGTCAATCACTTACGAGAAAGCCAACTGTTAAATCTCAATCTCTCTGTTAAAGACTGGCAATATAATGATGAGTTCTAGCTAATTAATAATTAACTGTCTGTCCGCCACGAATAAAAACAAGGAGAATAGATAATGACGATATGCATTGTTATAAATGCATGCGCTCAGCAAAAACCCCCCTAATGAAACCTATGCTGCGAGGAATGAAAGATGGCTGCCAGATATTTCTTGATATTATTAATTTATTCCCCCCCCCTCCTACACACTCGTCACACTATCGGGTTTCATACCAAATTGCCAAGTACACTCGGAGAACAATATCGAGCAAAGCTTTTAGCGATAAATGTCCGCCACGGCGCCACGACTACAACAAGTCGAGTGCATTTATCCTGACGTACATTGCCGCAGCCTGCTTGTTTGCCGCAATAGTTTGGGTTTGTGACTGGCCATCGGACTCCGTGCCCGCCCTCCACAACTGACAGCGACCGCTGGTAATGACTCCACGATTCTGACAGTCAGTGCGACGGACGTTTGCGATATGTGAATACCGGATTAACTATTTCCGGGGTGTTTCACCCGCCGAGAGAGGCGGAAGCATTTGTTATCTGCTTATATTCTCGTGCTTGTATAGCACTGAGTTCGCAGACGTAAAACATCTAAACATGAAACATTTAACATCTAACATACAACGCCAAACATATAACCATTATCACCTACATATACCATACACATGACCCTACACATATGTCTCTAACAGAGACGTCTCCAGCTAATAGCAACGCAATGATATTCGTATTAAAGCCCCACAAGCCCAGCATATCCCACCGAACCACCGACACATCTCGTCAGCTCTCTCCCTCTCTCTCTCTCTCTCTCTCTCTCTCTCTCTCTCTCTCTCTCTCTCTCTCTCTCTCTCTCTCTCTCTCTCTCTCTCTCTCTCTCTCTCTCTCTCGCGCTCTCTCTCTCGCTCTCTGCCTGTCTCTCTCTCGCTCTCTGTCTCTCTCTCTCTCTCTATTTATCTCTCGCCTGCTCTTTCGTTCTTTCACTCTCTTTTTCTCTCTGCTTCTCTCCGGCCCTCCTATTTCGTGCTTGCCCTACCCTTCTGTCTTCACACAACTCGCGATCCCTCAGAGAACTGAGAACCTCCCACTTTCGCACGTACTTATGTAGAAAAGTGCGAGATATCGCTGCTGTGCTCTGAAGATCATAGATTCGATACGATTTTTTAACATTATGGTTACTATTTAACATTGGTCGTACACGGCTCTCCTCTGCTTCATCATTGGGGGAGGTAGTGGAGTGTATCGTTGCGAAACCACGGTTCTATTGTGCAACAGAGCGATGTGGATTGCTAGTATAGGGAAATGAAAGCGGCAGTAAAGTGATCAAGAGGGATGTAGCGCAGTAAGGGGTACTGTCCACGAAGGTGACCATCCTGCCCCGAGGGAGACAATTTTCACGCCACTGCACTCGCTAATCAGAGTCGCCAATTTGTATATTACTTACGTCGTCGCGACAGATACAGCACAGCGATCGTAACTCGTGGACAGTCGCCGACCACACACACGCACGCACGCACGCACGCACGCACGCACGCACGCACGCACACACACACACACACACACACACACACACACAACTTGACACAAGCCTCGATCGCAACACGACATTAACAGTAGTCTGGCACAACGAGCGAACAGACAGCTTCTTCCGAAAGGTCCCAAATTAGAGCCAATTTCGACACACACAGCAACTCTATCAGGACACGACCAGAAGCACCCTTACGCGCCGTCGCAAGTACCCTTTTGTCCATTACTGCGGCACGCGCGCAGCATTTTCAATCACAACACGGTCCTGAATGCGACGCTGAGACAAACATAAAAGGGCGGGTGCCTGAGACAAGCTCGATGCTTATAAATATAAGCGCGCCGCCCGCAAAATCGCTCTGTTGTCTCCTTTGGCGAGATACTGCCGCGTGTCGAGTGGCCACTATAGCGACGAACAGTCGATGGCTGTACATGGTGTACTGGCAATTGATTGCCGATAAGCGGTGCCGTGTCTTCTTCGTTTGCGTTGCCATCATGTTAAGGCATCGTGCAGCTATGATGACTGGCGCGGTCGGCGAATTTTAAATTTTCTAGGGCAAGCGCTGCGTTCTATCTATCCAGGAATTGCACCGCGGAAAGGTTGGAGGAGGAGGTGGGGGCGGCACCAAGACAAACATTTCCTAGAGAGAAGGGCTATCAAGTCAGCCACTTGCCTTTTAGCAACACATCTTCGTCAAAGAGGGATACGTCGTGCACAGCACTGAGTTTCTATGAGAGGGCATGGAGGCATGCCACACAGGGCAGCGACGGCACTTGTATACGGTGCCGTGATGACATTCTAGCCATGCTAATGGGACACTCGTGATGAAGCCATGGTCACTGACCACAAGCAATCACAACCCCTCCCTCTACGTATTGGGGGTAACCATGACGACGTCGACACCGCAGCAGCTGCTGACGTCATCGGTGCCAGTCAGGGCGAAGGCCGATTATATTGTATGAGATAGCATTATATTATACAATCAAACCTGTGTTAGTGATCACCTATATTGAACGGACACTTAAGGGCACTTTTTTAACGAAAGACACAGTTGCACAGTGAAACCAGCCTTTATAAAACGGGTACCTGTCTATAATGGTCACCTCTGGCGTTCCCCGTGACCTTTATACACAGGTTTAGCTGTCTGTGACCGTGCGACGAAGAGAAAGCACGGCCAATGCTGACATGCCCCTCCACGCAGAAACGCGCGCGACGTGTAACGACCCCCCGTTTAACGCTCATTGAAGATTTTCCTTGTTTACTTTTAAAGAATAGTATTTGCATAAAATCGTTACGGCAATGCTGTATATACGGCGGATATTTACAGCCGACGCATCCAGTGCCGACGCGACGACGCGTGCATTATAAGCTCTGGCGCAATCTTCCCGACGAAGCAGACAACAACAACAGCTGGTAATACAGACGTGGCGCAGAGTTAGAGAAGAAGCCAGCCTTCTGGAAGGGAGGCCTGCATCTGAATCTAGACGTTTAATTAATTCAGCACCTGGCCACACTCTCTCAATCAACTAACTACGGTGTGGGTCAGTTATGCGCCTCCGGGAAGAAAAATTATTACATGAGCAACGTGGCATTAGTAGAGAAGTTAGTTAGTGGAATAAAGAAGTCCATCTTCTGATGGAATAGTTAGGAAACGTCGAGAAGAAATAACGATCATGTAACATGTGGTTATTTCAAGATGAATGCGGACTACCGCGATCTATCCCGTTTACACGCTCATCTTCACTTATCGAACCATATCGTAAAACAGCCGAGAAAATAGCATCAATGCAAGAGCTACGTGGAGTTAGTAGAAGACAACCTTCTTATGGGACAGTTATGCTATGCCGGGAATACATTTCAATGTAGGAGTTACGTGGCGTTAGTAGAGGCCAACCTTCTTATAGGGCAATTACGCCATGCTGCATGGGTACAAATATCAAGCCAGGAGCTACCTAGGCTTAAATGACAACCTTCTAATAGGGCAGTTGCGGCATACTGGGTACAAATATCAAGTCAGAAGCTACGTGGTCTTAGAGGACAACCTTCTGCTGGAACAGTTGTGCCATGTTAGGAACAAATATTAATGTAAATGGGGGGGGGGGCTTAGAGAACGACCTTCTGATGGAACAGATGTGCCATGTTAGGAACAAATATTAATGTAAAGGGGGGGCTTAGAGAACGACCTTCTGATGGAACAGTTACGGCATATACTGGGAACAAGCTAAGCTATACACTCACCTTCTCTTGTCGAACCATATCGTCTCACAGCCATTCATCTGCAGAGCGGCCATGATGACGTTGACGTCATAGTTACCGAGCCCTAGCACGCTCTTGTGTGGATTCACTATGTGGTCTGGCGACAAGCTGCAAACAAGTATAAACACGCACCGATGTCAATACAGGAACATTCACGACTAGCAGGACACCCGGCGTTGCCCGGGAAATGAAGTGCTCAGTTGGTGACCACTTGGTTGAAAGAGAAATACCCAAAAAATATCTATCTATATCTATGTATCTATGTATCTATCTATCTATGTATTTATCTTTTTATCTATCTATCTATCTATCTATCTATCTATCTATCTATCTATCCATA